CGTAATTTGCGTTTTTTTTCGACGGTTCTTCCCAGTGGACTCCTAAACCACTCCACTGCTAAATCCTCAGCAAAATTGCAAATCAATTTACCGCTGGAAAGAAAATAGCAAAAAAGTATTAGCTGTTACTTGCCAGCGGTGAGTTTCAAGGAGTTGGGCCAAAAGAGGTCAGCAAGAAAGCAAAGCTATACAAATTGAAGAGACTACCAGAACAGCAATGTTTTACTGGAAAATTTCATTCAAATCACTGAGCAGCAAACAATTTTTGATCAACCACTTGTTAGTAAACTGACCAGACTGAAGCCGATTTCACCACTAAAACTATTTCAAATGAACTTGGAATGCTGTCACTTGTAGGAAGCTCTACAATGCTGCTCCAAAAAAATTTCCTGTAAATAAGCCTCAGTGATGGATCCGGAACTTGTAGAGTCATTAAGATACTACTTTGTAGTTCTATGTTCCGTAGAAAAATTACGTCTTCAAAAATTACATCCTTTTCAGAAAACTTCAAACGCTGCTTTCAAAGATAACATATTTGTCACACCACTTTTCTGAGTTTGCTGAAGGTAATTGTTCAAATTAATTGAATTTCTAAAGACACGCTGTGAACAAACGGAGGAAATCATAAGTTTTCAAAGTCGACCACGTCTAGCAGAAAATGCGTCTCCTTCGTACTTTAAAGTGGTGTAATTTTACTGCCACCACACTTTTTCAGATATCCTTTTTCAACTTCGCGATGGAATACTGAGTACTACAAGCTGGTAAAATTGAAAAAATTTGAGAAGTCGACTAAAGATGTGCGAATTCACGTGGAATGGCCACATATAAGTAAATAAGTGGGTATATATATATCAAAAAGCAAGTGGGAATAACTTTGAATCGAAAAATCATGAAAGTTTAAAGATATCTGATTCTTTTGACCATTATTGGTAAATTTCTAATTACTTGTTTTTTGAAAAGAGTTGGCGACTGCAAAAATAAAAAAAGAAAACAAGTGTTGACAAGTGTCGCAAAAAGTAAAACTCTTTAGCCTGAGGAGTCGCAGAAAAAGAACCATGACCTCATCCCAGCTCTCTGCACTTTGAGCTTTCTGAGTCTATTAAAATTAACCTTAACAAATCCTCTTTCATATCACTTTTCATCTGTTATTCGCTCTGAGACCAATCACGCGCGAAATCGGGCATTGAGAAAGTTGTAGCATCTTTGTAACATACGATTTGTGTTTTTAGAGTGGGGGTCGAAAGAGACTCTCTTAAATTTATGGTGTAGGCTGTAAAATGTATCCGTGATGGCAATTTGTACATCCATGCCTTTCGTATGAGATTTATACGCGCATCTGGTTTACCCAGCTTAATGTCAGAAAATTCTGTACACTTTTTCTCGTTGTCTTAGCGATCTGTTTGACAACACTTTTTGCTTATTCACTCCTACAGGCTGTTAGACATGTGCTTATTTTTTATCACGGCACCTGCAACTCTGTAGTGCTATAGGAGTCCCGAGAAGCACTGGCTGATCCTGAACAGCATAATACTTAAATACCAAACGTTGCAGGTATTCAGAAGGACCTGTAACTTGAATAAGGAAAAGATTGCGTGTTATACATTCACTTTTGGTAGCTTGAGGATGAAGAGGCAGTAGGTCCGCATCGGGATCTTGTAGGGCAAGAATGATAATGAATTCGATTTTAGCTCAGCATCGGATCATATCAAATGCAAGCATCAGCATAGCATTCAAGTAGGGCATTGGCGCTTTGCCAGCAACATAACTTGTTTGGACAGTCAAGTGAAAAGTTATAGCCAGTGATAAACCTGGATAGAACTTCTGAATCTTGTTTACGTAGGGCCCGTACTGCAGGACGTGACCTCTACTTCAGTCTTCTTGATTGCTAAGATCCTATGCTGTGAAGCACATTTCTATTTCTTGTTCGGATCTCCTTCATTTTAAAGGATTGGTCTGTAAGTAAAGGTCACTGCCTTTTTGATGTTTGCGGTTATATTTCAGGACTGAGTAATAAATATCATGGATGCCGATCTTTACGACGAATTTGGCAATTATATAGGTCCAGAGTTGGACTCTGACGATGAAGATGATGTTGATGTCCCACATGAGGACCAACAACAAGCGGATGAGGATGACCAGGAAGAACAAGAGGTAAGAAATTGAGATGTTCTTTAATTGGGTATGCTTGGTTTACTGTTCCGTGCTCGCCTTTTTTGAAATTTATCTTGTTTGCAGCACAGGAAAGTCTATTCTAGTGCTTTTTAGGATGAAGATGAGAATATGGAAGATGACAACAATCAAGGCCAGTCAAATGAAATAGTTCTCCATGAAGACAAGAAATATTATGCTACGGCTATGGAGGTTTTATTTTAGTCTATCCGAGCAAATTTCTGTAGAACCATTAGTGAGGGAAATTAAACACAGTCATAATATTGCATCCATCTTATCGTAAATGATTTTTATAGGTGTACGGTGAAGATGTTGAAACAATAGTACAGGAGGAGGACGCCCAACTGCTTACCGAGCCAACTGTGAAACCTGTTAAGCAAAGAAAGTTTCAGGTACACTATTTTGCTGTTCTCTTTTTTGGACCGTTCTTTTATGGATTTAGTGAAGAGGCTTGTATCGAAATATGAAAATCAGTGTGTAGATGTAAAATTAGAGAAAGCCAGCTACAAGTAAAACTTATATTGTTCTCTCTAAGTATTTTTTTGAGTTTATCCGCCATTTTTGTTGTCGTTTTATTAGACCTAAACTGTAATTGCTGTAATTTAGGCGGTTGAACACGAGTTACCTGAAACTGTGTACAATAAAGAATATTTGGCTGACCTTATGGACTGCCCACATTTAATGCGCAACGTAACAATAGCAGGTCATTTACATCATGGAAAAGTAAAGTTTTTGTATCTTCGTTGTTCTCATTTCCTTTATTTGGAGCTGATATTGTTTTTTTATTGTATTTTAGACTACCTTTATTGACTGCCTTATGGAACAAACCCATCCTGAATTTGTCAGAGCGGAAGATATTGACACACGTTATACTGACACTCTTTATATAGAGCAGCAACGGGGTTGTAGTGTAAAATCAACTCCAGTGACATTGGTTATGCAGGACAGTAGGCAGAAAAGCTATTTGCTAAACATATTAGATACACCAGGTAGTAGAGCAACTCGCAACAATATTTTTTTTTTCCATATTTGTGAACCCAATTAATTTTGACTGATTTTTTAGGCCATGTTAACTTTTCTGACGAGCTCACAGCTGCATATCGTTTGAGTGATGGAGTTGTTCTTATGGTTGACGCTCACGAAGGAGTACGTCTTCATTTAGTGACTTACGTGTTGTTGAAAGACCTATAGTGTTAAGTAGTCATTTTCAGGTAATGCTGCAAACTGAACGGGCTCTTAGGCATGCTGTTCAAGAAAGGCTTCCTGTTACTGTGTGCATCAACAAAATCGATCGGCTTATTTTGGAACTGAAATTACCTCCAACTGATGCATACTACAAATTGAGATTTGTGCTGGACCAGATCAATGGCTTGCTACAGTTTGTTCTACGTTACATCAAAGTTACAGAATATTTCTCCCAGCAAACGGGAAACAACTTGGTTTTTGCAGGACATTTAGCGAGGAAGCTGAAGCTCCTTTACTAACGCCGTTATTGGATAACGTTATTTTTGCTAGTTCTAGATATAACATTTGTTTTTCACTGCTAAGTTTTGCGAACCTGTACGCAGAACACTATGGTGAGTGAATAGTTTTTTGCTTATTGTGAGCTTTATTGTATAATATTAACGTAAATCAGATATTTTTTTTAAGGAACATTCAGTGGAGCTGCATTTGCTCATCGTTTATGGGGTGATCAATATTTTGATAAAAAGACGCGAAAGTTTGTGAATAAACCTCCGCATTCTGGAGCTTCTCGTTCATTTGTTGAATTTATATTAGAACCTTTATATAAAATTTTCTCACAGGTACTTCAGATACAATGATGTTATTCTGGTTTCTCAGGCTTTTTTCACTTGGTTTTAGTTGTTCTTCGGTAAAATTTTGTTCACTCTATATGACGCATTCCTTCTTTTAGTGCCCGTATTCGTAGTCTTTTTCTTTTTTATAAAATTGAGAATTTTAGGTTGTTGGGGACGTTGACACTTGCCTCCCGTCAATGATTTCTGAGCTTGGGATAAAGTTGACTAAGGAAGAACAAAAAATGAATGTTCGTCCTTTAATCGCTCTTATCTGCAAGAGGTTTTTTGGTGACTTCACAGGTATAATCAGTTACAGTCGATTTTTATCTCTGATTCATCGAATAGTTATTTAATAGCTATTTTTTAGCATTCGTCGATCTAGTGACTCGCAACATTCAATCACCACTTGACAGTGCGAGAGTGAAGGTGGAGCATACTTACTTGGGACCTCTGGATAGTAAATTGGCACAGGCACTGATAAAATGTGATGCTGAGGTTTCTGGTCTTTGCATTCATAAGTATTCAACGTGGAGTTGATAGCTACACTCTTAAAAATTTCAGTAAATAATTCAAAGAATCAAAGGCAAATAAATTAGTTGATCGTTCTTTCCCCTTTTTGAGTGTGAATATTTGTCTTTAAGTTAGTTTGAACTTTAATTTGATTGCTGAACTAATGGAACAGCGATGTATTGGGATAAGTTTACGCGATTCATGATTAATGCGTGCTTTCTTATTT